ATCACATTGAGCTGGACTTGTTTTGTAACGTTGAAGATGTTTTGTAGCTTCTCCAAACCGCTTCTTCTGTTCAAACGAGTGACAGGAAAACACCCCAGGATTTACTGTAAGGCTACGTTCACACTAGCGTTGTGTGCAGGCGGCAGAGAGGCGTTTGGGAAGCGTTTTTACCGCTTAACAAACGCCTCTGCCAATTCTGCACATTACAGCACATGGTGCTATTCTAAAGGGAGCGTTTGCGTCGCGGCAAAACGGATGCCTCTGGTCGAGTCAGGAGGCGTTGAAGCCTCCTATTCTCGTCTATGGTGCCGCTCCGCAAACGCCCGGCAGGCGTGTGCGGTGTGGTTGCGACGTGTTTGCGGGGCGTTTGCGGAGCAGTAACACCACTCAAACTGCATTATAGGCATTTGTGGGGTGTTATTAACGCTCGGCAAATGCCTAGCAACCACCGCTAAACCGCGCATGCGGCTTTTGCAGAGCGTTAAACGCTTCGCAAACGCCGGACCAACGCTTGCCAAACGCTATAGGGGTATTTGGCAAGCGTTGGTAAAACAGCCAAGTGTGAACGAGCCCTTAGGGATGTCCTTGATGTTCCAGTCGAACTTATATTCATCTTGAGCAATGGGTGTTCATGTGTTCTAAGAATACACAAACGTTCAGGGCATTTGGAGGGCTATTCGCCCACAATGCACAGCACGTGATTGACAATGGATTACATTGATAGAACCATTCTTTTGTCTTTTTTTAAATTAAAGGACTTGTAAAAGACTGTCTACTGTCATTTTTTACACTACACTTTTTTTTGTGAATGAGTAGCGGTACCATGTACCCCCTACTCATTCATAAAGGAGGCCGGGTTCTGGGGCCCCTTGTTAAAGAGGGCTTCCAGATCCTGATAATTCACCCCCCCAGACCTCCACAACCACAGGCCAGGGTGCTTTGGGAGGTGCCCCCCTGCTCCAAAGCACCCCCCCATGTTGAGGGCAAGTGGTCTGGTACAGATCAGAAGGGCCCTTTCCTGGCCTGCCAGGCATGTGCTTGGAACAAGGGTCTTGTAGGAATTTAGGGTGGGCACACACTTTTTAACCCCATTTTTTGGGGGTTGAGTTCCCCTTAAAAGTTCTACCAGGCTTAAACGGCCTGTTATGGCTTTTGGGGGGAACTCCACACACTTTTTAAAAGAAATGGTTTACTGTGGGGTCCCCCTAACCTTCCTGGGGGGGGGGAACCTCACGCTGTCAGTCCTGCTGTGGCAGGTTCTGTACATTGTACAGATGTGCAACTTTGCAGGTAGTTTCAGGGGACCCTTCAGGCATGATATTTAAAGGAATTTGGGAACAATTCGCTAAGCGGCACCTTACCGCATCTTTTTTAAATAAAAAAGTTGGTATCCACTAAAATACTGCATGAGTTATTGTATTAAATCATGTGGTATTTAGTAGTGAAAACAAGCAGGTACCCCACTGAATATAAAAATAATTAACGTCAATTAAAAATTTAGAGAAAAAAACTAAACAAAAGAACAGTGTGGGGTCCCCCCCATCCATATCAAGTCCTTTGGGTCTGGTATGGATTTTAAGGGGAATCTCCACTCCGAAAAAAAAAATGGTGTGGGGTTCCCCCAAAATCCATACCAGATCCTTATCTGAGCATGCAGCCCAGTAGGTCAGGAAAGGAGGGGATCCCCACAACCACAGGCCAGGGGAAGAGGCCCCTGTCCCCATCAACATGGGGACATGCCCCAAAGCACTACCTCCGTGTTGAGAACATGTGGTCTGGTATGGTTCAGAAGGGGGCATGCACTCGTCCCCCCATTTCTGCATTCTCAGATAAGGGTCTGTTATGGATTTTGGGGGGACCCCACGCCATTTTTAAAAATAATTTGGTATGGGGGTTCCCCTCAAAATCAGTACCAGACCTGAAGAGTCAGTATGAGCTGGCAATTCTTTTTACATTCAGCTGTCAGTGGGAGACATTACCACACGTTTCCACATGAACTTTCGTTGGTTTGAATGCGAACCGAATAGAGTTCAGCCCATCACCATATACTGTATATCCACATAGGTAGCACCTAGATTATGTGACTAGAACAGCATGGGTTTGCAATGTTCACACCTTACATCCTGTTATCAGATAGCATTTATCTTTCCATGGCAATAAGATTAAAGTACCCATTAACCAAAGTTCCATGAAACCATAGGGTTCCAGAGGTTGTTAGAGGTTTCTTGCGGATCCACAGAGGTAGCCCATGGGATAGGAATATGTAATGAGAACAGTATGGTTCCACAATTTTCACACCTCCCATCCTTTTCTTGGACAACATCTGCCTTTCCATGGTGATTGGATTAGGGCCGCCATTCTAAACCAGGAATCCATAAACCCTAGGGTTCCTGGAGAGGTGTTAGAGGTTTTTTGCAAATCCATACTGATATCACCTGCAATGGTGTTCGGTAATTGAGAATAGGATGGGAGGTGTGATAATCATGGAGTCACCCTGTTCTAGGTAATTTCTGCCTTTCCATGGCAATTGGATTAAAGTAGCCATTACCAGGTTCCATACAGATAGTACCTGGGACAAGATTGTTATTAAAACAGGGTGGTTCCACAATTTTCACTAGCCATGCTCAACCAGAGTTCCATGAAATAATGGGGTTCCTAGAGGTTCTTTGAGGATTCATACAGATAGCACCTGGGATTGCGTAATTAGAACAGGGTGGTTCCATGATTATCACACCTCCCATTTTATTCTCAGATAATTTCCATGGCAATTGAAGTAGCCATTCTCAACCAGAGTCACGAAATCATAGGGTTCCTCGAGAGGTTGCTAAAGCTTCTTTGATGATCCATACAGATAGCACATGAGATGAGATTTGTGTTTGAGATTTGAAAAGTGTGGTTCCACAATTTTCACTAACCATTCTCAACAAGTTTTATGAAACCAAAGGGTTCCTCGAAAGTTTTCTAGAGGTTCTTTGAGGATCCAAATAGCACCTGGGAGGGGGTTGTGTAATTAGATGTGGGTGCTTCCACAATTTTCACTAGCCTTTCTCCACAAGGGATCTGTAGTGTTGAAGACATTATTCACTATTAGTCACTATTCATCCAAGTGAATTCTTCAGTTAAAAGGAAAGTTGGGAGGATAAGAGTCCCAATGAGAAATGAGCATTGTGATCTAGGATTTTTTTTTACCTTCTCAACTGCTCAGGCTAAATTATTTTAGCAAAAAAAAAATATTTGAATTCATATATTTTTATTAAATAAAAAATGTATTATATCAATACAAATTACTGTCTCTTTTATTAGAGAACATATTTAGGATAGTTTATATTCTTCTATTTAATGTTCTATTGTAGATGTGTTTTTAATTTTTAAGTTGATTTGATATTTTTTATTTGTGCACAGACACTTTTATTTTTTATCAACCCCTTCAATTTTTTTTTAGTAAAATAATAAATGGCTGTTTTTTGTTACAAGAAAGGGTCCAGGTTAGTTAACAGAATCTCTTATGGCACTGAAGAGCCATTTAAAACCTGTTGTACCCTTAAACATAAAAAAACTCTTAATGCTCATTGGCCCCAGTCTCTCCATAGTTGGAAAATGAAAACTCCAGTTGTCATTCATTCCCATTTCTCTTACTTTCTCTATTGAAGAAGCCACTTAGCTGGGAGAAAATATCTTCAACGTTACAGAATTAGTCCAATTGAATGGAGCATCATTTCTACCCTCATTACTTGTTTTAAGTCCTATGTATTCCATAACATATTTTTGTATAGAAAAATGCAATTCTGCTAGATTAATTAAGGGTTTGGTGTTGGGCGACGGAACATTCTTATAAATAAAATTAAGCTCTCCGAGCAATTAATGTACAATTTTATTACTTGGAATATATGATCACCATAATTATATAGACTGCTATAATTAATAACTTTCCCCAGCAAAAGGAAAACATTTATTTTGTTAACAAGTTAATACATTTTTCATAGTGTATACTGCTTATTTACTGAACCCGCTCAGAAATCCAATTTCTTAAGGGTGTGATTAGCTTATGAGATTACTAATGTTTTTTTTATTTTTTTATTTTACAACACTGCTTTATTATGTAGTTATAGAAGAAGATCCTTGCACATAGATTCTAACCTGCTTTTGTTCCTCAAAAGGAGGTGGGAGTGCTAATAAAACTCTATGCCAGTGTTTCCCAACCTTCTTTCAGTTGAGGCACCCTTTAATATTATGGACAAAATTAAAAATTTTAAAAATGAATAGTTTTGCATAACACAGCAGCATCCACACACATAGGACGCCCAACATTAGAGGTGATGTATTCTTCCAAAGTAAATATATCTTTGCGCATTGGTACGGACTAGTATTCTTATGTTTCTTCTCCTTCAGCTTCTCTTACTCAGCTAATGTGATTCCAGTGCTGACGGAGAAGAGCGGCAGGGGAGGGGCAAACAAGGATGCTGTGTAGGTGCCCGATGTCCTCCAAATCAACTGATGACATCATTGGTTGTTAGGGACACCAGTGGCTGGAAGGCTGTAATGGCACATAATGAAATCCTGTGCAACTAAAAGGCAGGCTTGATCCACCTGCTGGCTTATATACAATTTTTGGGCAATTTTGGGGTTTTTCCATGTCACCCCTTAAGGAACCTCAAGCGCCCCCCGGTTGGAAAAAGCTGCTCTAAGCAGAAGGCACAACTGATTTGAAGAGAAGCAAAGACTAGGCTCACTATAACTTGTCAGAATCCATTTGTTCTTTGACTCAGACAGGCAGCACCATCTTTGTTTAAGCATCATCAGGCTAGCTATTTTTGAAATGGCGGCTCAGAGAAGATACAGTCATGTCCAATATAACACTACATATAAACACACACACATCACATATATTTTTTATACACTATATTGCCAAAATTATTGGGCCAGCCCTCCAAATCATTGGATTCAGGTGTTCCAATCACCTTCAATCACCTCCATAGGCACAGGTGTATAAAATCAAGCACCTAGACATGCAGACTGCTTCTACAAACATTTGTGAAAGAATGGGTCGCTCTCAGGAGCTCAGTGACTCCAAGCGTGGTACCGTGATAGGTTGCCACCTGTGCACGAAATCCATCCATGACATTTCCTTGTTTCTAAATATTCCACGGTCAACTGTGGGATTATAACAAAGTGGAAGCAACTGGTAGGCTACGTAAAATGACAGAGTGAGGTCAGCGCATGCTGAAGCGCAAAGTGCACAGAAGTCACCAACTGTCTGCAGAGTCAATAGCTAAAGACCTCCAAACTTGGTGTGGCCTTCAGATTAGCACAACAATAGTGCGTAAAGAGCTTCATGGAATGGGTTTCCATGGCCGAGCAGTTGCATCCAAGCTTTACATCACCAAGTGCAATGCAAAGCGTCGGATGCAGTGGTGTAAAGCACAGCGCCACTGGACTCTAGAGCAGTGGAGACATGTTCTCTGGAGTGATGAATCACACTTCTACGTCTGGCAATCCGATGGACATGTCTGGGTTTGTCGGTTGCCAGGAGAACGGTACTTGCCTGACTGCATTGTGCCAAGTGAAAAGTTTGGTGGAGAATGGATTATGGTGTGGGGTTGTTTTTCAGGGGTTGGACTTGGACCCCTACAGTGAAGGGAACTTTAAGGACATTCCAAGAATTTTGGACAATTTCATGCTCCCAACTTTGTGGGAACAGTTTGGGGATGACCCCTTCCTGGTCCAACATGACTGCACACCAGTGCACAAAGCAAGGTCCATAAAGACATGGATCAGGGAGTTTGGGGTGGAGGAACTTGAGTCCTGACCTCAACCCAATAGAACACCTTTGGGATGAGTTAGAGCGGAGACTGCGAGCCAGGACTTTTCGTTTGACATCAGTGCCTGACCTCACAAATGTGCTTCTGGAAGAATGGTGAAATCTTTCCATAGACACCCTCCTAAACCTTGTGGACAGCCTTCCCAGAAGAGTTGAAGCTGTTATAACTGCAAAGGGCAGGGCCCAACTCAATATTGAACCCTACGGACTAAGACTGGGATGCCATTAAAGTTCATGTGTGTGTAAAGGCAGGCGGCCCAATACTTTTGGCAATATAGTGTATGTTGTGTGTGTATATACAGTTGCAAGAAAAAGTATGTGAACCCCTTGGGATTACGTGGCATTTTGCATGAATTGGGCATAAAATGTGCTCTGAACGTCAACAATAGAAGAACACAGTCTGCTGAACATAATACTACACAAACATTAGATGTTGCCATGGTTTAATTGCACATAACATGTAAACATTCACAGTGCAGGGAGGAAAAAGTATGTGAGGCCCTAGCTTAATGACTTCTCCCAGCTAATTGGAGCCAGGAGTGAGCCAACCTTGACTCCAATCAGTGTGATGATATTGGATGTGTTGCTGACAGCTGTCCTGCCCTTAAAAAACACACACCTGTTTTGGGTTTACTGATTTCAAGAAGCACTGTCTGATGTGAACCATGGCTCGCAGAAAAGAGCTCTCAGAAGACCTACGATCAAGAATTGTTGACTTGCATGAAGCTGGAAAGGGTTACAAAAGTATCTCCAAAAGCCTTGATGTTCATGTGTCCACGGTAAGACAGACTGTCTACAAATGGAGAAAGTTTAGCACTGTTGCTACTCTCCCTAGGCAGGTTGTCCTGTAAAAATGACTGCAAGAGCACAGCGCAGAATGCTGCATGAGGTAAAGAAGAATCCCAGAGTGTCAGCTAAAGACCTACAGAAATCTCTGGCACATGCTAACATTTTTGTTGCCACATCTACAATAAGGAAAACATTAAACAAGAATGGAGTACATGGGAGGACAGCACGAAGGAAGCCATTGCTGTCCAAAAAGAATATTGTAGTACGTTTGAAGTTTGCAAAAGAGCACCTGGATGTTCCACAGCACTACTGGCAAAATATACTGTGGACAGATGAAACCAAGATTGAGTTGTTTAGGAAGAACACACACCACTATGTGTGGAGAAAAAAAGGCACAGCACACCAACATCAAAACCTCATCCCCACTGTAAAACATGGCGGAGGGAGCATCATGGTTTGGGGCTGCTTTGCTGCCTCAGGGCCTGGACGGATTGTTGTCATTGATGGGAAAATGAATTCCAGAGTTTATCAAGACACTTTGCAGGAAAACATACGACCATCTGTCCGTCAACTGAAGCTCCGCAGAGGATGGGTGATGCAACAGGACAATGACCCAAAGCATACAAGTAATTCAACAAAACAATGGCTGCAACAGCACAGAATACGCCTTCTGGAGTGGCAGAGTCAGAGTCCTGACCTCAACCCAATTGAAATGCTGTGGCATGACCTTAAGAGAGCGATTCACACCAGACATCCCAAGAATATTGCTACACTGAAACAGTTTTGTGAAGAGGAGTGGTCCAAAATGACTCCAGATCGTTGTGCAGGTCTGATCTGCAACTACAGGAAACGTTTGGTTGAGCTTATTGCTGCCAAAGGAGGGTCAACCAGTTAAGTCCAAAGGTTCACATACTTTTTCCTCCCTGCACTGTGAATGTTTACATGTTATGTGCAATTAAACCATGGCAACATCTAATGTTTGTGTAGTATTGTGTTCAGCAGACTGTGTTCTTCTATTGTTGTGACTTAGATGACGTTCAGAGCACATTTTATGCCCAATTCATGCAAAACTCCACGTAATCCCAAGGGGTTCACATACTTTCTTTTTCTTGCAACTGTATGTGTGTATATATATACAGTATATACACACACACACACAGTATGTATTAACTGAAGGATATCTGTATTAGCCCAACCTTTACTTTATTATCTTCCCTTTGAGATGCCCTATCTCCTGTAGTATGTTTTGTTTTCTTTTTACTTACATTTTTCTTATTTATTCTGAATGGTTTAGTAGGCACAGGGTCCTGATGTAATTATTTCAGCGTCCCTCTCTACATCATTAAATTAAGTGAAGCCAAGCTCAGGGGATGTGGCTATGGCACCCTGCACTCATAGGGGTTGATTTACTAAAGGCAAAATGCATAGAAAAAATGGGTGCACAAAAGGGAACCTAGAATAGAAGGACTTTATAGACTCAATATGGGAGACCACACAAGATATAAAACAAAATACAGTTTATTATACACATTAAAATTCAGGACAAAATACAAGCAAAAAAATACCCCTGAAAAGGTGCCAGCAGGTTTGCTGGATACCAAAACAGTACCCCACCCTACATGACTGGAAGTCTAATATATAAACTCCATATGCCTGTAACAATTGCAGTGGAGCAATTGCATTGTCTGTAGGCTTCTGGATAAGGGTCAATGTATTTTGCCAATTCTAGCTTCTTCAGCCAACCCAGTGTGTTGGTAGGGCATCAATTGGTGTGGTGGTAGAACGTAGGGTGCCTCGCTAAAGGCTTGGGAGTGGACACAGGGGCATCAGGATCAATCTGTACAGCAGAGAGCCATCATGGGCAGCATAAGTACACATGGATTGAGGTCTATAAACTGGACAATAGATAAACTGGACAGTATAGAGGTCCCAAAAAAGAGATCGATGGTGTAAAAAAATGTGACGGTGGGTAAGGTGTCTGTTAACAATGAATCATCCTGACAGAGATGTTAGCCCAACACTTGGATAGGATAGTGATTACAGCAATGGATATACAGCCCCAAGGATCCAAGCCATCTGCCCCTCCATCGTGTCCAAAATGATGCTGCCCACCAGACTGCCATGCTTCAGAGCTGAGTAAATCAGGTAAAGCTTCACTTTGCAAAGAATGACTGGATCATGGAAGTCAGCAGAGCTTCCTCACATTTACTAAGCTGTGGTGCAACTGCACTTGTAGAGTGCAACTATACTTCGAAAAGCGCACAGTCTATTTTTGCCTTTAGTAAATCAATCCCATAGTCTTTCCTTGGAGGAGTGATGCTGGGCGTCATTCAATCTGGGAGACCGAGGACACCTTTGACAAGGAAGAGGTAATGCAGGGGCAACACTGGGTTGAAGGTGAGTATTGATTGACTACTGCAACTCCCTCCTTGCTGACCTACCTCTACACAGGGAATACCCTCTTCAGTCTATCATGAATGCTGCTGCTAGACTAATACACCTTACTAACTGATCTGTGGCTACTGCTCCTCTCCTGCCAACCTCTTCACTGACTTCCACTAGCCCAACGTATAAAACCCAAAATACGGATCACAACATACAAAGCCATCTGTAACAGTGCCCCCAGCTACATCACCAAGCTCATCTCGAGATATCACCCAAATTGTCCACTCCACCCCTCCCAAGACTTCTTGCTCTCCAGCCCCCTTGTCGCCTCCTCCCATGCTTGCTTTCAGAGCTTCTCCAGAATGTCTCCCATCCTCTGGAACTTCTTAAACCAGTATGTCTGGTTTGCTTTTTCCTTTTCTACTTTTTCAGTGATCTCTGAAAAAAAAAAAATTTTCATGGGAAGCCTACCTCACCTTTACCTAAATTACTATATTTGTAGCCTGAGCGGCTTATAATACAAAAAAATTAAAAATTTAAAAATCAGAGGAAAAAAAAAAAAATTAGCCCAGAGTTGGGTTTTAAAAAATATATTTAAAAAATGTACCTCCCCATTAAATTTCCAGGTCCCAAAAGATATACATATAGCGACAGAAATATCAAACACCCAAGAGAGCACAGTATCATTCTAAATTTAGTGCTGTGAAAATGCCGCTGTTGCCCGACTTGATTTTATATTAATGTTATGCTAATATATATACACAAACAGCTTAATATTTCCTAGTTATGTCATTATATAGTGTCAAAAAGGAGAAATAAATTCTGCCAAATTAAAATGCAGAATTTACTTTGCGCTTTATCATACCACTACATGGCATAAAAGGTCAAACTTATCTGATGTCCATTTATTTAGAAGAGCTTTGTGGTTACATTCTTGGGGTACATATCCAGGGCTTGCGCAAATTAAGCCATACTTCAATATTGAAATTACAGATTTTCTTTTTTTTGTGTGTGTTAATTATCACTATTTCTTTTTAATTAAAAGCTAAAAAAAATAAAATATTTGTATACATGTTACTGAACTTAAGGTTTAACTTGTTCTGAAAAAAAAAAAAAAAAAAAAAGATAAAACATCACATTAGAATAAATCGCAAATACGGAACTGAAACATCTCTGAAATGGAAATAATGTTTCGAGACTTAAGGTTGCTATAACATTACAAAGAATTTCTTTCTTCATGTGTCACTATAAAAGTGATGCAAACAGGCAGAAATGACCCTTTTTTGTATATTGTTAGCATAACATTAATATATGATAAAGTCAGCTTTGCGTGGACACAAATGAGTGCAACGGTGACATTTTCACAGCTATTAAACAATGACATTGTGCTTGTTTATAGGAGTATGACATTCAACGCAGTAAATGCAAATGTCATCCAGGGCATCCAACGCTTCTATTGGGATTCTGAAATTAGTACAGGGAGGAATTTTTAAAAATATATTTTTTAAAACTGAATCTTAGGCAATTTTTTTTTAAATTGCTGTTCCCTTGGAGTTTCCTTTTTTTTCTCATGC